AGTCGACGTTTGCTTCTGTGCCTTTGAGTCGGATGACGATGATTAAGGGGGGCAATAGAAGGTGAGGACTCGGAGAGCAAACCACCAAAGTCTGAGCGGGAGGTACCCAATGACGAGCCACTTGAGTGGGGTAAAGTGTGCAGTGTTGAGTAGTTGTCGGTCGACGACGTAGCCGACCAAGACGGAGTTGAGTCCGAAGAGATAGAGTTTCGCCGCCCAGGAACAGACGGTCTTGCGGAGGGTGGAGCAGAACGGGCGTTGGTTCAAGGTAGTCGCGAGGCTGGCGAGCATCGCGACGCATAGTTGTGCAACGCACACGCACGTCAGATCGCTCCGCTCGGCCGTAGCTAGAAGCCACGGCGGCGGCCCGCCGCTGCCCGCCACGTGCGCAAAACCGATGCCCGTCGGGACCAGTGTGAAGGCGGCCCGCGCACTACCGGTGAGCATCCAGCGGCCGAAGCACAAGAGTCCCACCATGCAAAAGACGGCCGGGACCACCGCAGTCGCCACCAACAGTGTGCCCGCTGCGGCGTAGAGCGCCACGAACTGGCGCCAACGCAGCCAGCGCAGTAGCGCGTGCCACCGCGCCGCGAGCCAGGCGCCCTTTTTTTCTCGCGGCGCGTCCTTTTGCGCTGGCGCACGAGCGACGGCGTATCGGAAGGTGAAGGTGCCGTCTTGATCAGTGAGATAGAAGCCGCGCGCGACCTGAGGCGCACCGTGGTCCGGCGCCTGGAAGAGCGTGAAGATCCGCGAAGCGGCGAAGCGGACGTAGCCGCTGTCGTAGCGACTCGGGATGCAGGCCTTCGGCATCCAGACCTGGAACTGCACGTCAAGGCCATTGGGGAAACGAGCTACAAAGACGCCAGCGACGGTAAAGTCCTTCACGTCAATCGCGTGCAGCACCAACCGAATGCCACCCGTACACTCGATCCCACACACACCCTCAGCCGACAGATAAATCTTACGCAAATCCGGCCACACACGCACTGCCACCTCCGATGCCTCCCAACCCGGCGGCACGGGCAAACTTCGGAACGTCCGCCGCACCCAGACGCATAGTCGCACAACCAACGCTCCAGAACTCGAGTCCGCGCGCGGCCGAGCCGTCAGCGGTACCGGCGCCGCACACAGAGCATGCGCCATCGGCGTACGCAGCAACCGCGCAAACAGCCTCGTCGCCCGCGCTGCGGGAATGTTCACCTTCGCGCGTACTACGCGGTTCGCCAAAAACGGCACCGTGACCGCCGTGACCGCCGTAAGCGCGCTGTGTGCAGAACACGCACCGCCCTGGAACACGCACGCGTAACTCGCCCGCGCGTGCCGTAACAACCAGAAACCCAGCGACAGGTCCGCACCGTACTCTGACGCACTCGGGTTCGACTCGAAAAGTACCAACGGCAGCACCGACGGCAGACCCCAACGCCGCCCAAGCGCCGCCGCCACGTACCCCGAAGCCTGCGGCACCACCCAGGCCACCGCCGCCGCCAGCAACGTCACGCTTACCACGCCGCAATACACACAGTCCCAAGTCGCGACAGAGAAGAAGGCTCGACTCGCGTGCGGAAACGCGTCCTCGAAACGCATCCGGCTCTCGCGCACGCCCGCGTACCGTGTGTGCACCACCTCCGGCAGCGCCGCCCCCACCGTCTCCCGCACCGCGTCGCCTCGTCTCGCACGCTCCGCTTCCGCGTCGTCTTCCGCCTCTGCTTCGTCTTCCGACTCCGCGTTCTCCGACTCCGCGTTCTGTGCGCCACCTTGCTCTCCGTCACCTTGCTCCGCGCCGCGTTGCGCGGCCTCTGCCGGGTCTTCTTCGACACGGAGTTGGGGCAGTGCGTCGGCGGCGTCGGGGTCGTCGGGCGCAGCGGCGTAACTGAGGGTGAGGTGCGAAGAGGCGTAGTAGGCGGCGCAGGAGAAGCCGAGAAGTGCGTAGTCCTCGAAGACGAGTCGGTCCCAATGCGGGAGCGCGCTGAGGGCAGTGAGGATGATCTGGCTAAGATGCATCAGAAGCAGGCGGCCAACGATGACCGAAAACGCGTGGAGCAGCCAGGGATTGCTGTCCATCACGTGTGCGATGTGCGCGGGGTCAGCGTCCACTCCCGCGACGGCAACCCAATGCGAGAGGCCGAGGCTGTAGAAGAACACGCGCCCCACCACCGAGGGCACGGCCACCTTCAGCACGAAGAGCACGCCAATCAAGTACGCCCACTCCTCGAAACTGCACACAAACAAAACGATCTGCGAACCAGTCTCCAACACACTCCGAACCGGCTGCGGCAGTCGCCGCCAAAGTCGCCGCCAGACGCCTTCGCGCCGACGCGACTCGTTTCGCGCATTCTCTACCGCCAGCCGCACACTCTCCACAGCACTTCGCACACGTGCGATGTCCGCCTCCGTCACGCGACTGCCCGCCAACCGACGACCGCCGCGACCCGAACCTGGTTCCGCGTTCGGAGGGTCTTCCGACTCTTCGTCCACATCCGAGTCACCCGTCGGATTAGGGAACAGCTCGTCTGCCGGCTCCGCGGCGGATGACGAACTTCCCTCCGCGGCGGGACCGTTCGCAGCCCTTCCCTCGGACAGCCGAGTCTCGGACGGTTGCGTCTCGGACGGCCGAGTGTCGGACGGCCGTGCACTCGATCCCTGGGCGTAGAAGTTTCGGATTTCTTGGACGCTGGCGACCTGGACGGCCTGGCGACCTGGACGGCCTGCAGAAGGGACTCGCGGAAGGCGCGTATAGCAGCGGCCCGCTCCTCGGGCGACCCGAAGGGTCCGCTGTCCGGGCGTTCTCTGCCACGGGTTGCACGGTCATCTGCGGCGGGTTGGTTGCTCCTGGTGCGGAGGCTCGAAAAGAGTCCAGAGAAAATTGCGTAGCCTAGTGGAATGATAAGCAAGCAAGCTGTACCCTTCAGGACTCTAACAAAAATCAGAAGCAGAAGGAGTGCACCAGCCACCCACAAAGCACGTCCAGCGGGAACTG